AGTGTCAATAACAGTAACTTCCGACTTGAGATCACAGTGTGTATACAAAATATGTAGAGTTGAATTAGCCCCTTTTTGTCCTCCCCATCTTTCTCTAAATAACTGACTTCTTAGAGTATGTCTCATAATAACAAAAGCAGTTCATATCTGAATGTTTACTACGTGCCAGCCATAGTTCTCAGCACCTTAAATATATTTATTTAATCCTGAAAATAACCCAAAACAAGATACTATTACTTCCCCCACTATAAAGATAAAATAGGTGAGGCAGAGAAGTTTTCAAGGTTGCAGATCTATTTTGTGTTTTCCGCAAGCCAGTTTGGTCTCAGTATCTTATATTTTTACACAACTCATTACTACCCATCAGAGTGTTAAGTATATATACTGAGCCTGCTTCAAATATGGGTGAACCCTCTTGTTAGCTATGTGACCTTGGGTAACTTGCCAAATCTCTGTGACTCAGTTTCATTCATCTATAAAATGGAGATGACAAAAGCATCTACTTCCTTGAGCAACTGCGAAGACTACATGAATTGCACAGGTAAACTTCGAACAGTGCGGGGCACATAATATGCACAAGAGTTAGCTGTTATTATTACCACCACCACCTCCACCTGGGAATTTAATGTAAAGCTGTTCTACTTAATTGTGTCAACATTTCTTTTCCTCAGACATCTGTCATTTCTATTGTTTGATTTACACTGGATAACAATGATCTATTTTAAGTAAATAAGCAAGGCAACAAATTCCCTTGCTATTTTGTTCTTAGGTCTTACCAGTTCTTTCCTCCTATTTCAGTTGCCTAGGAAGGAATTGCTTGAGGCTAACAGGGTTGCAGTACACCCTAGGTAACTTCTGAAGCTGCTGTATTACTAAGGCTAAAGCCTAACTAAACTTGTATTATAATAGACAGGAAGAGGGGGAAGTCCTAGTTCATTAGGCTGCTTTAACAAAATACCATAAACTAAGTGGCTTATAAACAACAGAAACGTCTTTCTCACAGTTCCAGAGGCTGGGAAATCCACAATCAAGCACCAGCCGATTCAGATACTGATGAGAGCTCAAAGATGACGTCTTTTCACCATAACTTCAGATGATGAAAGGGCTTTCTTGAACCACTTTTATAAGGGCACTAATGCCACTCATGAGGTCTCCATCCTCATGACCCAATCGCTTCTCAAAGGCTCCACCTCCTACCATCATCACTTTGTGGAGTTAGGATTTCAACACATGAATTTGGTAGGGAAGGGGGAAGAGACACAGTACTCCTCTTAGTTTTAACTTCAAAAACCATCTAATTGTTTGGTATTTTGTTTGTGGAACAGGTTTTACACTAATAGTGTTTATTGAAGAATGATAAATGGCCTATAATATGCATTCACATTTGAATTGAAACAGTACGTTTAAATTATTAATTTATTGATGATTTACTAGATTTTACAGGCCTTAGTCTTTTGTAATTGCTGATAAGCTCACACAACATTCTTAGAACTGTCTGGTGAAAAACTGTTTCTAACCAAAGCATAAAGCATAAGTTAGACTTATTCCCATTATACACAGAACCCAAGACTCTCAAGGATTAAGTAATTAGATGAAGATTACCTCGCTAACAGGTAATGGAACAAGGATACAAACATAGGTCTGATGTGCTAATGATAACATCAAAGACTCATCTTTGGCTGCATTGCCCAAGTAATGTTATGTAACTACTTAGAAATTTAAAAAAAATTTTTTTAGGGAAGCCTGGGTGGCTCAGTCGGTTAAATATCCGACTCTTGATTTTAGCTCTCATCATGATCTCAGGGTTGTGAGATCCAGCCCCAAGTGTGGCTTGGTGCTGTACATGGAACCTGTTTAATATTCTCTCTCCCTCTCTCTCTCTGCCCCTCCCCCCCAGAATTTTTTTTTTTAACCTCAGACTATGGTAAAATACCATTAACTACTGTAAAATGTAGCTATTATCCTACAGTAACATCTTAGTTATCTGAAAGTACAGTAGGAGCTCTCCTAAGTGATTTTTGCTTAATCAATTAGCAAGATCCACCAATGCTTTCCATAGCCTCCATAAAACAAACTGGAAGACAAAAGGGAATAGGGTACTTTCCAGTTGTCTGCACATTTCTATTTCTACTAGTTGAGTTGTATGCTTAACTAGAACCCGGTGTTTGTCCTCAAAAGTTGTTTATGCCACCCTATTTATAATAGTTAATTTACTTAAATATTATATAAACCCATGAAATGAGTGCAAAAAAGTTATTTCTGTGAAAACTGCTGAACGCTTTGGAAAGAACATATCTGATGAACATATATTCCTTCTTCCTCCAAAACAATTTCCTGTTGACTTCTGTGTACACAAGACACATATAAGATTCTATGAAACATTAACAAATAATTTTAAAATGTTTTTAAATGTAAAAGATACTGTCCTCATATTGCTCTGTGAAGTCTTACTATATTTTTAAGAAATCAAAACTAGAAATCTCAGGGGAAGGTTGGGGGGGAACTAGAAGTTTTAGGCGTATATTACTGGTGTGATTTTTACAAAAAAGATCAGATTAACTTTGAGAAACAGATCCCCTTTTACCCTCCAAAAGAAGCTTGAGCATAGATAAATAGATGGGTGAAATAATTAAAGCTGTTATTTTTATGGTTCCTAACTTAAACCGACTTTTTTTAACTAGCCAACCAACTACTTATTTAGAAACTCTCTGAAGCGCAGCTGTATCCCGCTAAGCAAATATCTGTCTCTCTCTACACCAGAATTCATGTACTTTACTCAGATTCTGAAAGAAATCTGAAGGGTTCTCCTATTTACTCTTATTTTATAGAGAACTCAGTGTTAAGTATGGTTACTGAGTTCTCTAGCCCAGAGACTAAAAGCAGTGAAATTAAAAGGAGGGAAGAATAAACATTTTAACAACAAAAACTAAAAATTTAAAAACCAGATCTTACAAAAAAAAAAAACAAAACCCAAAAAACAAAAAAACAAAACAAACAAACAAAACCAGACTGAAGTAATTTTAGCTAGAGGTAAAACAAAACAAAACAACACCTCATAAATTTAAATCTAATAGGCATTTCTAGCCCTATTTTAGATGTCTGCCAACATATCATGATTACAATTGAAAATCCATTTTTTGGCATTTAAAAAGTAAAGTTTTAATTATACAGAAAAATTCACATAGCTTCTTAGACACCAATGTAGAAAAAAAAAGAAATATTACTGTCATCTAGCTAAGTATTGCCATCATTGTGCCTTTCCAACTGCAGGCCAAGAAATCAACTCAGTGGTTTGTTATACCAAATTTTAAAAATAGAAAGTAGAACAAAAAATACAAGACCACACTCACATAGTGAAGGTAACTATGCTTTGTGAAAAGCTTCTTTCTGTTTATCTACACTATTTTGCAAAATAAAAGATATTACTTTAAAAGATATTACTTTATGGGCCTAAAGATCCATAGCATTATTATGAAATACAGTCTCAATATTAAAATTGCAATTCTTTACATCATAATGCTAAAGAAAGCTATAATTTTAAAGAGAAAAAAAGTCACTTATTTGAGTCTTAATAAATGTATTTATTTTTCCTAGTAATCAGTATGTACATGTATGCATGTATATATATACATATCCTATATACTATGTAGTATACATATATATATGTATATGCATATATACATATTATATACCATTGTGTGTGTATGTGTATAATATTGTGTTTGGTACTAGTTTGGGCTAAAATAGAGATATGTGCAAATATTATTTTTTAAGCTGTTTACAATCTTAAAGCAAACTTTAACAACAACCAAAAATCCAAAACAAATAGTAACTTTGGTTTTATTTGCTTGTTTATTCTGACATGCAATTACTGATCTTTTTTCCAAAAGTCACCAGTGTAATCTAAAAGTCTCACCCTGGCATTCTACACAAGCAACTTCCTTAGTAACAACACACTTGATAGTATTTCATGCATACATAGCCAATTTTAAGAAAGAGCCAAGCACTTAAAACTAATTTAAACCACTAACTTAAGTATGGCTTTCTCCACTTCTTTCTAGTGTTTTAAAAGACACTGTTACCAAAGACATATTTTTAACTAGAATAGAAAATTTGTCTTTTAATGCACTTTGAAAAACATATGGAAATAATTACCAGTTTATTACGTATCTTTTTTAAAATGATCATTTAATTCATAGGAAGATAAATTAACATCTCTAATCGTAAAGCCTCAACTCTTTGTCATTTAGTCCAGCTCCCTACCAAATACAATAATCCTCTTCCAACAATGTTACTTGGACTCAAACACCCATACAACTGAAAAGCCTTCACTCCTAACTACTACTATATAATCTTCTCAACTTGGTCCCTGTCCTTAATCAAAAGAAGATTGATAAATTTGTTTTTAATTCCTTTGAAGTCCTTGAAAAACAGAGTATACATTATTCTCATAAATCCAGAAAATACAGATTTAGTAAGGAAATGACCCATTTACTTACAGAGATATTTAAATAAGGCCATGGAGTACTTTGCAAACTTTTAGAGTTTGCCGAAAGCACAAAAATCAGCTAATAAAAACAATAATCATAATAAAATCTGTCAACCTTAAATTTCCTCAATTTTCCAAATTCAAATTCTCAAGGTGAAAAAGTTTGTAAACATTAAAGTTCAAGTTAGATTGACTTTACCTAAAAATGAATAATGTAAATGTAAAATGATGCCAACTACTGTGGCAACAGATAGACATGCTGTTCCTGATAATCTCATTTTGATTTACACTAGAGTATCTCTTGAAACTACTACTTTACACTTTTGAAGAATATAACTTCCCATCTAGACCCTAACTTTCCCTCCACATCCCTTTTCTATCTCACCAGCTGGAACCTGTAACAGAAACAAGTAGTCATATGTAATACACAAAGAATTGATCCGGCCACAAAATAGGTTGACTTATAAAATGGGGCGCAGAAAAAAAAAATCCACTTAAGTAAGTCATTTACCTCGGTCTGGCTTCATTTTCACATCCAATTTCCACTCAAGGTGCTGTGAAATACACTTGTGGGTTCCTTCAACAGGCTTGCTGATTCTGTGGCTATTGCCCCGTTTTCAAAATGCTAAAAGGGACCAAAATAAAATTAATCTAGTCCTGCTCCGACACCCGGACCTTGCAAGAAACCTACTCTTAACAGGCCTCTTCCTGGCACTAACTGCGGTGACAGCACCATCGGCTGCTCTGAAAAAAGCCAAACTCTGTGCACCGCCTCCCCCATCTCCTCGGGCCCCAGCACCCCTCTCCCCCGCCCGTGTGCTCTCCAGGCCAAAGTGTCCTTCCTTGACACAGCGTCTCTGAACCAAAGAAAGATCTATTTATAACCTGGAGGTACAGGCAAGGGGAGGGAAAAAAAAAAAAAAAAAGGTTCAAGCAACACAAGCTAACTAACCCCTTTGAAAAAAACGCCGCTGGGAACAGTGGCACCTCCGCAGTGGCTGGGAAGAAATCCTCGGTCCTGGTGCCTGGGCGCAGCAAAGTCTTCAGGACCCCCCTAGCGCCTCCCCCGGAGCTCCGCCCGCCCCGCAGGGCCTCACCTGTGTAATTACCCTCCGGCTAGCCTTCCTGTGGCCACCGCGGCCAAGTTTACACAATAAAAGGGTCAGAAAGAAACGCGAGTCATCTCCTCGCGCCCAGCCCCCAGCCCCAAACGAACTCTACTGGGCTGTCCCGGGTCGCCCCCGGCCAAGCCCCCGGCCCTAAGAGGCCCGGCCTGAGGTCGGCCCCAGGAGGGGTGTTTACAGCTGGGCGCTCGCCCCTGCTCGGCGCAGCCTGCCCCGTGCGGGCCCCTTCCGTCCCCCACGGCCCCGGATTTCCTTCAGTCCCGCCGCACCGAGCGCAGCGCCGGCTCCTCTCCCCGCCGGAGAGTTGTTTTCATGGCTCCCTCCGCGGACCTCTGCTGACTAACTCGCTCTCCTCTCCCGTCCCAAACCCTCCTCCTGCTGGCACTTCTTTCCGCCGCTCACCCAGCGGCTCACATCACACTCCCACCTCAGACCCCAGGCTCCGAGAGGCGCAGGGCCGGCGAAAGCCGAGTGTGGCGCGCAGCGGCCCCCCGGGATGCGTCAGAGGACCATCGGGGCCCGAGAGCACAAGCCCGACGCGGCTCCCCGGCGCCCCTGTGGCCATCCACCCCCGCCTCAGCCGCCGCCTCGCTCCGCTCCCAGCGCTCAGCCCGTCCCCCTGCCGGACGCGCACCCGAGCCCCGCGGCCCCCGGGCTTCGCCCGCCCGTCGCCCCGGCCGGCCCCGCTCGCCCCGCGCCTCTGCCAGCTCCTCGCCCGCCCGCTGTCTCTAGCTCTGGCGCCCCAGCTCCCGAGCCCCCTCGCTCGCCCAGTTCTTTCTCTGCTGTTTGCCCTGTCAAAACACTGCCCGGGTCACGTGTCCCAACAACAGCCAACCCACCGCTCGTCACTTCCTCCCCGGCGGCCTCCGCGGCTAGCGCCCGGTTGTTATGGTAACACGCCGCACGCCCCGGGGCAGCAGCCCGGGGCCTGGGTTTCGGTGCAGGTGCCCAGCGGCTGCACGGGCGCGAGGGGGTGGGGATGGCTGCTGTGAGGGCTGGGCAGAGGCCCGCAGGCTGGAGAGGCTCCGGGCGCTGCGACGGTGCCTCGGGCCCTGCCCGCGCTGAGAGCCGGCCCTGGCGCGTCTGGTACCAGGAATCGGAGCTGCGCTATTAGAGCGCAGGGTAACTGGGGAGATGGCATCCAGGGCCTGCCCCAGACGAGAAGGATAATTATAGTTTCCTCCTCCACCACTTGGGATGTTGGCTTTGGGCTGTGACCGAGCCCGAGTGGATTGCAGCACATGGTGGAAGCCGGGTCTAATGTGGCAGGGACAGCAGAGTGGGCAGCCATGCGCGTCAAGGAGCCAGGAGTTTAAGAACAAGAAGCCCCTCTCACCCTAGATTTCCCCCAAATTTTAGTAGGATTCAGAACCCAAGCTCCTGAGATACTCGCTGTGCTAAAAATAACTTTTATAACATCTAAAACACTGACTCATGGCAGGAGGACACTTTTGACACCGTGTTATTGTTGAGGAGCTGTAATTTTGTTGTCCTATAACAATGTGACATGATGACATTTCATGTTGTGATTCGTGTCATCACTTAAGCACAAACAGATGACAAGGATCTGCTGTAATTAAAAAAAGCAGTCTTAACAAGGGCTGAAGCTATTAGCTACTCAGTTTATAGACACAGTACATAGGTTGTGAGCTTCAAACAGAGACAAATAGAAGTCCAAAATTTTCAGTGCTCTTTGGTTTCATCTGAAAAAGTGGTTTTTTTTAGAAATAATTTTGCATACAAGAATCAAAACAGGAAAATATTAGAGTAGGTCTGAAGGTGACTTATGTTTGTCTTTGTACTCTTCTGTAGTTTCCAAAGCCTTACAGTATTACTTTTACATCAGAAAAAATTTTTGTGAAGTACAAGATTGGAAATTGCATTTTTGTTGTCTCTATCAAATACATGAAATTTCAATTCTGAAAAATACTAATTTTCCAGAGGTTTTGATATGTACAGTAAAATTACATTGACAACTGCCGTGATTAGGACTATATCTAACCCAAATAGGGCAAAACATGCAGGAAGGTAACAATTCATTTTCAGGAAAATGTTCTGGTATCATGAAGATGAGACTTCTGACAAATGGCAACAGTTCCATAATCTATGTAATTGCTACAAATGTCAACTCCCCATGGATCTGACTTTGATATTATTGAATACTAGATTATGTAGTTTCCTTTATGAAATTTTATTTGTTCTACAATCACTTCTCAATTAACCCTGGTAATGGGAGACAGAAAGAACACTTCCAGATAATCCAAAATCCTAAATTTAGCACAACAGCTGGGACCAGATAACAGCTATTGTAAAAGGCTTAGTGGGTGAACAGATCTGGGAGCTAGATCTCTGTGATTTAGTTCCTTTTCCTCTGCCTAACTCACAGAAAGTATAAAGACCAGAAAAATGCTAAGAGCAGAAGCTGAGAATATTGGATAATATAGAACACAAATTAAAGAATAATAATTTTTAAATAATTAAGATTTAACAGCACATGGATAAATGATGATGTCTGAACATTTGTTAGACTAACGTGAAGCTTCTTATTAGAATCTTAAATCTGTTTAATAATTGGAGATCATTATGGCAAAATAAAGTACTTAAAAGAGGTATTTTTTACCCATTCATTATTCTAATTGTTTCATTCACTTAGCACACACTTACTGAGCACTCACTATTTGCTAAGCACACACTAATTTCATAATACAAAGTGAGGAGAAACAGGGTCAGTTCTCTTATAAAGCTTGAAGTCCTGACTAGTAAAGTTGCATAGCTTTGGTCAAGTCACATTCTATAGCTTTCTTTCACCTATAAAAATAAAGTATTTTGAATCTCACTAAACATAATTTCTTACCTTTTTAATTCTAAAACAATTCTATAATTGCATAAAACATATCTAGAGTGGGTTGAAAATAAAGACCTTCCCACAATGGCAACTCGTAAGTGTTGGTGATAAATGTGTTTGCACTTTGGGGCACCCAAGCAAAACAAACATCACTGGTTGCTACTTGGTGAAGGGTTAAGGGTCAGTGAAGCAAGGAAGTCAAAATAGCTGACAGGAACCTTACCCTTTTTCCATCTGATTTGCTCTCCATTTTGCTTTCCCCTAGTGTTCCAAAGACTTATAATTCACTTCAAAAAAGATTCATCTTCAGCAAGGACATAATCCCCTCATCTTTAACTTTCTTTTTCAACTTTTGTTGAAATAGGCAGTATATAACAAAACTGTATTTAATGGAGGTCTCTCTAAGTTCTTTTACTGGCTGAGGTGTTGAGGATAACTGGCTTGCACACTTTATTAACTACTGTTACCAAGGTCATGGAACCAGGCCAGCCTACCAGAGTTAGCTGCACCCAAGTAGAGATGAGTGCCCTTTTCTTCTATCTCTAGCACCAAAGGACCTGGCACAGAGCAGGAGTTCAATACATCTCAAACTTTATATTGACCAATAAAGTTTTCTTGTACATGTCCTAAACTGTACCTCTAATACTGACTGGCATTTTCTCCCTAGTGAGTTAAAGTTAGAGAGCTGGGAAATCAGTGGGTGGCACAAACTTCATATGTAAAGGATACGTTTTCACTGTCCTTGTGGTATTCTCTCATAATAGTAGGAATGTGTTGTGGGCTGAAGTGTGCCCCCCAAAATATTATGTTGAAGTCCTAATTCCTGTACTTGTGAATGTGACCTTATTTGGAAATAGGGTCTCTGCAGATATAATAAAAATGAAGTCATACTGGATGGAGGTGGGCCCTAAATCCGACTACTAGTTTCCTTACAAAGAGAGAGCTACTTGAAGACAGAAGAGACACAGGGAAGATGGCCATGTGACAGAGACTGGAATGATGCAGCTGCAAGCCAAAAGAATGCAAAAAATTGCCAGGAGCCACCCGAATCTAGTAAGAGGCAAGGAAGGATTCCCCCCTGCCCCCAGAAACGTCATGGGGAGCATGGCCCTGCCAGTACCTTGATTCCCCCCTTTTCACTTTCAGAACCGTGAGAGAATACATTTCATTTGTTTTAAGCCACTCGAGTTTGTTGTATTTTATTACTGTAGCCTTTGGAAACTAATCTAGAACTCTAGCAAAGAACATTGACATAATTTTTTCTTGGCCTCTAAGTTGTATTGCTGATACTGCAAGTGTTCTAAAGTTCCAGGCTCTGAATGATCACCTAAACATGGAGATCTTAATTCTGTAAAAACTACGGTAAATCAATGGTAAATGTGAAGGAAATCACTCAAGTATCACGAAAGAACAACTTTGTGACCTACAGCTAAAGGATGATCATGAGTAAGTGGCTGAGAATCATCGCATGAAAATATGCTATTTTAAATACGGCGATTGGTAAATCTGTTTCATCATAAAGTTTTGGGGAAATAAAGAATAGTAGAATTAAAATGTGTCGATAATGCTAGTCTTGCATAGAGAGTAAAAAAAAAAAACAAAAAAAAAATTTGTGTACTTTTAGTTCTTGAAACAAGAGGAAAGGCAAGCTATCTTTTCCCAAGCTAACCTGTTTCCAGTGGTTCATTAAATTCATTGCAGTTCACTTGTTTCTAAGGGAGAAAGATTGTGGAGTTGTTGCTAAGGTACTGTTTACCAGAAACAGTCCTCCACCTTCCCTTAAATTGGTTGGCTGTTTTTTCTTTCTTTCTTTTCTTTTCTTTTCTTTTTTTTTTTTTTTTTTTTTTTGAGGCTCCTCTTTGTCTACCTTCTATAACCACAAGTATAAGGAAATGAAAAGTGATTCTTCTGGTTCCTGTCTGCAGAAGTGACTACAGTACTTAGAAATACAAAAGCCTCTAAACTACAAGCCATGGAAACAATCAGATTTGCTGAGTTGCTAGAAGTCTCTGAGTCATCAAGATTTAAGATCTTTTCAAAAGTTAATTGCTCATTTTTGTGATAGTAACTGTGCTCAGCACTTCACATATATTATACACTTGATCCTGATACCACCTTCTTATCTTGTGGATTAGGAAATTGAGGCTTAGAAGGATAACTTTCCCAAGGCTAGAGTTAATAACTGGAAGGAGTCTTCCTTGATGGTCTCATTTAATGTCTGTAATATCATGAAATAGGATAAACTATTCCAAAATTTTCAAGAGGGGAAAACAAGGCTCAGAAACATTGAAAATGGTTGTACATTTTAGAATGTAAATTGGTTTAGATAGACTTGTGCTCAATGCTTTGAGATACAAGTTCCAAATAGAGTGGTTCTGGCTGTTTTATTATATATAAACTCCAGGGATGCGTGGGTGGCTCAATTGGTTAAGGGTCTGCCCTTCACTCAGGTCATGATCCCAGAGTCCTGGGGTCCTAGCGTTGAGGCCCAACATTGGGCTCCTTCCTCAGCGGGGAGCCTGCTTCTCCCTCTGCCTGCCGCTCCCCTGCTTGTGTGTGCTTGCATGTGTGCTCTGACAAATCTTAAAAAAAAGTTTTTTAAAATAAATAAACTCCAAAGAGCAAATAGCCACACAATAACAGTAGCTAACATTTCTTGAACACTTGGATGGTAAGTACTATTCTGAATGCTTTATTGGGATTAGTTTGTTTAATCCTCATAACATCTGTGAAACATTATACCTATTTTATAATCAAATAACATGCCCAAGGTCAAGTAATTAGGTCAAGGTCAAAAAATGTCCAACCAGGATCCACACTCAAGAAGCACGACTTTGGGGGCACCTGGGTGGCTCAGTGGGTTAAAGCCTCTGCCTTCGGCTCAGGTCATGATCTCAGGGTCCTGGGATCGAGCCCCGCATCCAGCTCTCTGCTCAGCAGGGAGCCTGCTTCCTCCTCTCTCTCTGCCTGCCTCTCTGCCTACTTGTGATTTCTGTCTGTCAAATAAATAAATAAAATCTTAAAAAAAAAA